CATTCACCTAGACACACGCACACACACGCACGCCCGTGCACACCAGTACATGAGAGAAGTACAGTGAGTCGGAAGGCAGGAAGGAGAGGAGTGGGAGAAAATCGAATGGGGATGTGGTGAAGGGAAGGAGGCGAGTCAGAGAGGGAAGGGTGGAGGAGAAGAGGAAATCAGAAGGGCAGCCCTGAGAAATGGTCAAGGAAACCCACGGCGATCGGGAGAGAAGGAGGCGAAAGGGGGAGGCAAATGAGAAAGAAGAAACAAAGGACAGATGAAGGGAAGAGACAGGGAGAGGCGGATGTCACCAACCATAAGAGAAGGGTAAGAGAGAAGGTAAAGAGATGGGGAGAGGGGGAAGATAAGGGCCAGCAGGAGACCGGTGACGGAGGGAGAGGGGGCAGAGGGAGGCCGGCATGGGCTGGTGGGAGTCAGAGAGCTCGCTGTGGCCCCTCAGGCAGCAAACGGGTGAGCTTGGGTTGCAGCTCATTTAGGGCTTCCTGTTTTCAGCGTGTCTTTGTGAACCCTTGGAGGGGGTCCCAGCCAGTACATAAAGTGGAGCGCCAAGACTCCCTGCCCGCAGCCATTTCACCATCCTCATGGCTCCGGTCTCCACGCCCTCTCACCCTACCTTCCCTTTCTGGCTGCTCCAGCGTTCCCTCCAGCACCCACCACAACCCCAGGCTCCAGAACATATGCCCCTTCTCTAGGGCCCCAGGCTTCTTCAAGGACTTGTGACGGAAGCCAACGTCCTCTGAGAGTACACCTTCTGGTCCTGGCACGTGCAGAAAAGCTCATCTTGGAAAAGACAATGCTCTCTGAACTGCGTCATCTTTGCCTTTCTTGGGGTGCCCTCATTTTTCCTTCTATTCCCCTGCTCCCCTCCCAAGTTACAAGCAAATCTCTATCCAGCCTTCTTGAATGCCATCCAGCAAACTCGTTTTGAGCAGTTGCAACATGCCAGGCTCCAGAGTTCTAACTGGAGACCAACTCTTTGTCCTCAAGAAGTTCACAGTCTAATGGTCAGATGGGCATCATGGGTCCAGAGGTGGCGCTGGGTTATGGAACCCAGGCGTCATACAACTGCGTTATACCTTCTCTGTAAGGAGGAGGACATAAAACTGCCAGGAACACACGGCCACGGATTCTTCCTGAGGGCCAGTACCGAGGTGCAACAACGATGCCCTGCTCCAGAGATGCTGGATCCCACGTAGTGTTGTAATGGTTACATTGCTGGACTCCTACATAGTCGACCACAGTTCAAGTCCCAGACCTGGCAACTTAAAACTCATGCCAAGCACGTGTGCATGTGTGCATGTCCAAAATCCCAAGAGGAGAATGGAGAAGGGATTGTGGTATGGCCTTCCCCCCCGGGGGTGATTTCTCTCTTTCTGTCTCTCTGTCTCTGTCTCTCCAGAGAGTACACATGCCCTATAGCAAAAATCTCTCTCTAAAAAAAAAAGTTGGATTCCATGTGGCAACCCAGTTCAAATCATGCCAGGCAAGCATACAAGTGCTCGAGAGCTGACTGGCTGGAGAACTGGAAGAAGAGGACCACAGTGTGACCAGGCCCCGCACAGGATGTTCATCCCCCCTCCATCTCTCTCTCCTATTCTCACATGTGCGTGCACATGCTCTATCAGAAATTTTTAAAGAAATATTTTATTTAACTTTATTTATTTACTTATTTATTTTAATTTGACCAGAGAGGGACAGAGTAAGAGAGGGGGGGGGGGGAATTGAGAAATCAAGTTGCCAGGCCCAGGACTCGAGCCACAGTTGACCACATAGGAGTCCAGAGCACCCAACCACCATGCCACCTGCTGGCCCCCTCTATCATGATGTTTTTAATGGGGGGAGAAAAGAAAAAGCCTGTGTAAGGAAGTCCTGGTAAGCGTAAGCGCTCACTCTTGGAGAGAGCCGGGTCGATGCCCCGCTGTAGACTTCAGGACTGAGTTCACAGAGGAAGTTTCCAACAGGAGGTTGGGCTGACCACTGACTGATTAATTAAACCACTGTGTCTGTGGTGTCCCCCTTTGCTCTCTGTTGGCCACTTTGTGAAAGATGCATGATGCACTGAGCAACTATTCACTCAGGGCTTGTCAATTAGTTGGGGTGAAGTTCCGCCACCATAAGGCAAGGACTTTCGGTCTTAACTGACGGTCTGGGTAGAAGCCGCGCCAGGCTGGTGGAAGCGCTGCAGCTTCGCGGACCCAGGCTCCTTCAGTGTGATCATCCACTCCTGGAGGGTTCCCTTGGTCACATGGTCAAAGATTGTCTACCTCCCAACCAGCAAGAAGAGAAAAGCACCTTTAACCACCATGCCGCCTGCCAGCCCCAGGGACGTGTAAGATTCATTGTGGGAGGGCACACGCTTCCCAGATCAGCATGCTTCCTAACTGCCGAAGAGGAGCATGGATATTGTGAACAACCAGACAGCTCCAAGGTAGACGCCCCACGTGCAGTGCTGTCAGGAGAACCAAGGTGCGAAGGGAGCTTTGGTCCTTGCCAAAGCCTCCAGTGACAGACTGTGAATTAGAGAATCCGGCCCTGCAAGCTCTCACCCCTATCGTGTCATGTTGATAAACCCTGAATGCTTCCACCTGGTCCCAAATGTTGGCTGAAATGAAACCCCAGGGCCACCAAAGGACTTTGGAGGAAGAAAAGGCAATACACACTATGAAGAAGTTGCCACAGAGAAGGGAAGAGAACTGGGAGAGAATAGTGGAGTGGAGACCAAATTTCTGAAACTTCTCTGACTTCCAATGTCACAGAGCGCCAAAGTAGGACAAGAACTGACAGAACTGTACGGGGCTTGCGAAGGCGGAGGTCAAAGGTAACTTTTGCCTAGTCAGTTTCAGTGGAACAATGGGGAGTGCTATCTAATGAGAGTGGGTTTTATGGGGGCAGGAAACGTGGGTGTAGACAGCCAGCAGACACAGAGAATGGTAACTGAGGTTCTAAACAGCAGAAAATAGTGAACAAAATGGTGTATCCTGGATCACGTTAACCCAAAGATAACGAATCAGTGAAAAGCAGGAGGCCAAAAATACATGACAAAAATAGAATTTGGCTGCTCCAACCAAAACCAAAACACGGTGACTTAAACGAGATTAAAGCTTATTTATCTTTCATGTGAGTGAGCATGCACCACAAGGGCTAACAGGGGGCACCACAGTGTTGGGGATCCAGGTTCCTTGCCTCTTGCTACTCAGCTCATCTCAACACGTGGCTTCCAACTCATGGCTCAGGATGGCTGCTCCTGCTCACATCACCACCCACATCCCAGCTGAAACAAAAAAGGCAGAAAAGAGGAGATTCCATCCATCTCCACAGCACCACCCAGAGGTTGCTGGCTCAGTTTTCATTGGCCAGAGTTTAGAGCTTTGGCCGCATCTGCCTGTAGAGAGACTGGAACAAAACCATCCGCCGCGGAGAAGACCAGGTATCCTGCTAAAGAAAGTGAGAGCGACAGCTGTCAGGACCTCAGAGGCCTGGGATAGACGGAGGTCTGTCACTGCAGCTGACTTGGCGTTGGAAGCTCCCCTGGGACCTCTCCTGACCCAAAGACACCACCCTGTATTCCTGGCCTGGGCCCAGTAAACAACATTTCTTCCCCAGGCCTTTGGCCTAGCAAACCTGGCCTGTCCAGTATGTGCATACACATACACACGCACACTGCACACAGATACAAGCACCATGCACTTACACACCACACACACGTGAACCACACTGCACACCACATGTACACACTCCACGTGAATATACAAAAAATACCATGCACAACATACACCAAACATATGCAAACACACCAGAAATATACCGCACACACGCCACACACACATGCACACATACCTCCTACACCTTCCACACACACACACACACACACACACACAACCTACACATAGACCCCACACACACATCTCCTTGTTTCTTTCTTTCTTTTTTTTTTTTTTTTTTTGGAGAGGTTTTTGCTATAGGGCACATGCGCTTGCCAGACAGACAGACAGAGACAGAAAGACAGAAAGCGAGAAATCCCCCCCCGGGGGGGGTGGCCATACCGCAATCCCTTCTCCTCCATTCTTCTCTTGGGATCTTGGGCACACACGCACAGGCGCCTGGTGTGAGTTTAAGTCACCGGGTCCGGGACTCGAACTGTGGTGGACTACGTGGGAGTCCAGCGACATAGCCATTACGCTAACTGCTGGTCCCTCACATCTCCTTGTTTCTGACTGGTCTCTGTATCAATATCATGCCCTTTCATTTGGTCCTCTACAGCTGCTTGAGAGATTTTTCTCTCTTTTTTTAAGAGAGATTTTTGCTACAGGGCATGTGTGCTCACCAGAGAGAGACAGAGAGATGGAAAGTGAGAACTCACCCCCAGGGAGAATGGCCACGCCACAGTCCCTTCTTCCCCAGGTCCTCGCGGGATTTGGGGCATGCACCCATACGCGCCTGGCATAATTTTGAAATTGCTGGGTCTGGGACTCGAAATACAGTGGACTACGTGGGAGTCTAGTGACATGACCATTACGCCATCTGCTAGTCCTGAGAGATTTTTCTAAAACACAATTTAGCTGCTTTCTTGATTAAACTCTATCTCCTTGCAGTAGCTTTCCAGAACCTGCAGGCTAAGATTCTGACTCCTGACGGGGCTACTGAGGCTCTGCATGACCTGTTCCCAGAGGAACCCTGCCCAGCCGCCCCCCCCCCCCCCACCATGCAGTTCCTCACACCTGTACCTGTGGACAAACTTCTCCTCTCCAGAAAATGGCCCTGCTACTTGGTCCATCTGAGAGCCATCCCATTCCTCCAGTCCCTGTTCAGAGCATCCCTT